AATTCCTTAAAACTGTGGATAGCATTAATCAGACACGAGCATATAAGTGACTTTGGTTTGAACACCAAGATTACCCATGTATGATTTCATTATCAATACCTCAAGTACTTATGGGAAAAGGTAAAAATCATATGTCTGTCTTAGTCCTCTAAGTGAAGCAAAGAGAAAATATGCACTGTTCACACTGAAAGCCAAAACATAAAGGAATTTAAGACTGTATGTTGTGTACACATACATGTGCATGTCACAACACACACACACACACACACACACACACACAATCCTCCATTTGTAATTCTGAGGTAGATGATGGTAAACTTATTGATAGCATTTGTTATAATTTAAAAATTAACTAGGAAACTTCATTCACAAACAACTTGTATAGAAAAAAATCCCATTACATTTAATATTCTTTTCACTTGAATATTTTTTCATAATACAAATTGAGTCTTTGAAGCCTAAAATAATGTCTTATACATATTTATATGCTCAATTCTCTGTTCGTGGCACATACTATGAATATAAATATACGGAAGAATTCTACATCTGCACAAATACTTTCAATTCATGTGTTAAATCAAAGGAAGACAATGTGGTATCTGTAATGTTTAGATTGAAACGTCAGCGTGACACAAAGTCAAAAGCACCCAAGAAGAGTCTCAAAGAAAGATTGTCTACAGTGGATTGCACTCTGGGCATGTCAGTGGAGTAGAATCTTTGTTAAGTTAAACTAGGTTAGAAGATCCAGCCTGGTGTGGGAAACACACTCCCACTGCACAGAGAAGAGGAAGCTGGTGGAGCTCTGGGCCTGCCTAAGCTCCTTCTCTCTCTGCTCTTGACGGTGGCTGTGATGAACCAGCTGTCTCAGCTCCTGCTGCCGTGTCTTCCTCACAGTGATGGACTGTGACCTAGCATTGTGAGCTAAAATAAAGTGTTATTTGTCCCTAAGCTGCTTTTTGTCAGGGCTTTGTCATAGCAACAGAAATGAAATTAGAATACTATCCATTAGAACCTTTTATATGAACATGATTCAGGGATTTTTTCCCTTCAATCAATTACATATGCCATGTGAGTCTACCTAAAGTGAGGTACATACTATACTCAGATTCACAGAGAAAACAGAATGCTGGTTTCCATGGTCTGTGATATCAGGGAGTTAAAATTTCATGAATATTTTGTAAGTTTCCACCTAGAGATGGATAATCAAGATGGCCATTTAACAATATAAAGGTGATTAACATCAGTTAAACTCTATACTTAAAATGATTTAAATGACTTCAGTTTTTTGTTCTACTTATTTTATAGCATTGAAAAATAAATACACCCAAAATGATTAAAAAAGAAAATGAAGAATCATTGCCACTGTTAGATCCCTGGGAATAAAAATGATGCTAAGCTGAAAAATATAAATAAATCTGCTTCTGTGGTACCCTGCCTCTAAGAAGGTCAACATTCAGTCTCCCAAGTCCCTCTCAGTGTAGGACTTATTGTCCTGTAAAGTCAGAGTTTTTTGATCTAGACTGGACTGTTATTTGGCTGGCTATCAGAATGGGTTGCATGCAACATTTTGTGTTATATGAGGCTAAGTCAGATGAACTCTTTTGGTTTTCCCAAGGCTTTTGGAATGGTCACTGTTGGAGCACCAATTCTAGCAGAAGCCAGTTCTTTGTAAGAAGACTATTCTGTGTGGCTGTCATGGTATGTGAGGCTCATGTCACATGAAATAGCCATAGAGGATGAGTTTCAATATGAATTAAGATGGAGAAACTAAAGTGTTTAAACAGGAAGAACCCATCATGGAACAGCCTGCTCAGTCCCCCAAATCATTTTAATTATTGTTCAGAAATAACCTGCCAAGTTGACTTACTAACTCACTAAAGGAAGATAAAAAATGAAGCTGTTGGTGAGGCCACTAGCTTCTGCAGGAGCTTATTTGTAGTAAACCATAAGTTTAAACCATAAGGCACCCTATAGAGTTGAAGATTCTGTGTGGATGAGCTGGAGGTGTAGCTCAGTGGCAGGGTGTCTGCGTACCATGTACAAGGCCCTAGGTTCAATCCTGAGAATTGTGGAAACAAATGGTGAGAAAGGTCCCACATAGAGCCAGGCACAGGGGCACAGGTCTAGCCCACAGCACTCAAAGGCTGAGGCATGACAATCAGAAGTTTGAGGTCAATCGGGGCTCTTCAGCAAGAACCTCTTTCAGAAAAGGAGGGTTGTGGGATTCTGTGTAGAAGCCCAACAGTAAGACACATGAATAAAATTGGATTTTGGCATATTTTGTGGTTTTAAATTGCAGTTGTATATACGTTAAAGAGTCAGTTCCATTACCTTGTATTGAAAAACTAATGAAAACCTTTTGGTGCTCTTCTTCTAGTGCAATATAATTGATAATAATAGTTCATGAGGCCGGGCGTGGTGGCGCACGTCTTTAATCCCGGCACTTGGGAGGCAGAGGCAGGCAGATCTCCACGAGTTCAAGGCCAGCCTGGTCTACATAGTGAGTTCCAGGACAGCTGGAGCTACAGAGAGACCCTGTCTCAAAAAGACCAAAAAAAAAAAAAAAAAAAAGTTAATGAATTGATATTTACATAATGTTTGTTTTTAGTTTTATAAAGTCAACTATGTTTTGGAAAATAGGAATTGGTAAGAGAAATCAAGCTAGTATAAAATGTAGACAGTAAGTCCAATTTGGGGGTGTTTTAGTTCTGAATGTTCCCCAGATCTGCTCGAGCATATTGCGGGGACTTTTTGTAAGATGATTCAATAGACTTCTCTGCATGGAAGTAAAAACAATGAGAAGGCTGACATTCGGATATTTCTGCAGAAAAGTTGGGGAAAATGTTTTGGTGAGTACATTTATTCCTACACATAAAAGCACATTAGTATTATTATTTATCATTGTGGAGTATCACAATGCACGTGTGTTCTCTCATTCCTGTGTGTGAATTCCAGTGTGCCTATACCAGAGCACCTGTGTGGAGGTCAGAGGACAACCTCGGTGTTGGTAATCACCTTCCAGCTTCTTTGTGGCAGCGTCTCTTTTTTTTTCTTTCTGCTCCATATGCTAGGTTAGCTGGCCAGTGAGCTTCCAGGGATTCTCCTGTGCCTGACTCCAATCTACCCACAGAAACACTGATATTACAGACATGCATGCCACCAGATTCTGGGGATTCAGACAGGTCCTCATAATATGGCATGTGCTTTATGCACAGATCCATCTCTGTATCCCTCAAAAGAACATTTCTCCTGAGCCCTCAATGTCATTGTTACTCTGCTCAGAAAAAGCTGACCCGGCCTCCTCACAGGCAATTATACTCACCACAATGAGCTTCATCAGATCTATCGGAGCAGTCTGGCTTGTAGTCACAAACGAGATGGGATGCAATGCACTTCTTGTCCTGGCACAGAAAATCCGTGGATTCTGAGCAAATCTCAGAGATTTCTCCAGCTAAGGAAAACAAAATAAAACCATAAACAGCATTGAATCAATATGGGCATGACATTTGAAGATACCTGTTTGTTGTTTTATAGATTTCATGCTATAAAATTAGTGACTTTAACAATTGCCCAAGGTAGACTTCTTGACAATGGCCTGTCCTTCATTCTATCATTAATTCTTCATCGCATCACACAACATAAACTTTCTATTAATTAAAAATTTTTTTAGACAATTTTGCACGTTCATACAATTCATACAGATCAGTCTGTCGCCACCCACCCTTCCTTCCCCTTTTTCTCTGTCCTCGTCGGTCTGACACTCTTCAGTTCATGTCACACCAGGACGGTTTGGTGGCTTTGTTAGAATTCTTTCCACTCTACTGAGACATGTTCACAGGTTTGTCTGTCTCTCTACTCTATACTCTGTCAAAACATAAATCTTCATTATCATCTATTGCAGCTAACATACAACTTAATGCATTGTTGGTGATTAATAAATGCAGGTTATAGTAACTGAAGGCATGCTGGGGGCTTTAGTGGATTTGTATAGACTCTTCAAAGTCATTCGTGTATTTGAATATTTTTGTTATAGGCACAAAGAAATGATATTTCATAGTTTCAAAGTAATTTAAAGTTCTGAGAAGATTATCACATCATCTTCGAAAATGTAACTAACTTAGAAAAGTCTTCATTACATAGGTGGTTATTAACCCAAGTTTTGGGTAATTTATTTAAATTTAGGCTGCATTTACATGAATAAAAAGGAAAAACCTCTACTGACTTGACTGAGGTGCATTTGTGTGATCTTTGAACCATCTCCATACTACAATAGTTAAAACCTATTAACTTCCAGAAATAACCCACTAATAAGATTAGGACTGCATGAAGATGAAGAATGAAGGAGAGGGAATCGGTGACTATAGTGAATAATTCAACCATGGGCTCAAAGGTCGTGTTCACTGCTTAAAACTTTTGCCATATCATTTTAATTAACAGTAGTGATAATTTGTAGTGAACCCAGAGCAGCAATATGGGTGTCCTTTTATACACAAGTCAGTGCATTTGGGAGTATCTTATTTTTCTATGTCCTAGGATATGAACCTATGTCATTACTCCACAGGGGAAATGTGTTTGGACTTCAATCTAAATAACTGTTCCTCTAGTTACTTAAAATATAGTGAAATAAACTACACCTCCAAATAAGATTTATTTTCATCAGGAGTTTCAAATTGCAAAGCTAGGAACAGCTATCAAGTCAGTATTTTGAAATGTACTGAATGGGAGGATAACTAGGATTCTTTTCTATGGAAAAACCAGGTGTACCAGGAACAAATATAGAAAACGGAGCCTTCAAAATGCTAATAAAACTGATCTCTTTTAAGGTCAGAATATAATAAATGGAAATGATTGATTACTGTGGACATACATAGTTTAATGGAAATGATTGATCACATAAAGCGAGACCACTGTGGACCCATGAAGTTAATGGAAATGTTAGATTATGTAGAAAGAGGCCACTGTGGATACATGTGGTTATTACCATCTTTTATTCAGCCAAAATAATAAAAAGAGTAACTATTGATCCAGTTAATCAGTTGTGCTCCAAATCTTTCTTACAGATGACAGCTTATTATTCATGCATATTTTCTCATTTTAGAAAGAACTATGGGACAAATTTTGCAAATAAAAGGAAATCTCACCATTGCTGACAAAGAGATATTACATAGCCAATATTTACAATTGTCTAGAAAATAACAATACCTTTTATTCTTTCTATTTACTATGACCATTTAAATATATCTTATAACTACTGGGTTTAAAGAAGGTCAGAACACACATTAGACAACTGATAGCAAAATATCTGAAACTGTAACATTATTGATCCCAATGAGAGCAGAGTTCAGTCAAAATGGTGAGAAGTGTTACCAATGGTACCAGGCTGTGTATGAGTGCATAGCAAGAGTTTAGACACATATAAACAAATAGGACTTCACTTGATATACACAGTATATTACTAAGTATATTACTAACACTGACTTTTCATTTTTCCAAAATAAAATGTAGCTTTATAAAGTGTTAATATATTTGTCTGAAGAAAAATTATATATATAATATATCAACCTCTCCTTTCTATCATGAAACCCAGACTTTTACATTGAAAATTGAACAAATGGACATATTTTAAATATCCATTTTTGTTTATCAATTGTCCATATAATTGAACCAATATATTGAAAAATAACAAAAAATCAATGGTTTAAAATATTAGACAGAAAATCTGGTTGAAAAAAGCACAAGATGAAAGATGAGAGATGATAAAACAGTAACATAAACAAAACTCAAAAGCGATGCAGCTAACCAGACCCCTGGAACTCTGCAAACAGTAACATTTTTTAAACATCTCTTTTTTGAGACAGGATCTCATGCATCCCAGGATGGTCTCAAACTCAGTATATATCCAGGAATGTCCTTGAACCTGAGCTCTTTCTGTTTCTAGCCCCTGAGTACTGGGGCTGCAGGCTTGACCCACTACATCTAGTTAACAAAATGCTGGGGATCAAATTCTGGGATTCATGCATGCTAGGAAAGTGCTCTAGGGAAGCCACAGCCCCAGTCCCTAAAGAAACATGCAGTGTTCAATGATTTGTCACCTCTTCCTGGTTCCTCTACCTCAGCTTAAAACCATGGATGAGATGTGTGATGATTTCTAACTACAAATGAAACATAGCATCTTTTTCCTATCTGGACATAACCCTGCTTTGGATATGTCCAAAGGGCTTTCCTTTTTCCAAACCTCAGTTCTACTAGGCCTGAGCCAACATCTCTTGACATTCCCACTTCTATTTTGGCTCATTCTGTAGTGTGGGCTTCAAAGTCCAGACCAATTGTGAGCCTGGCCCACTTTCATTTGTACTTCCTTAAGGGTCACATCTGTTGTGATGCTAAGTGCTCCCTGGGGCGGATGATACAAACATGTACAGTCCAATCTGTTCCTTTTGCAGGGTTTTAGATGCTCATGGTATCTTTTCTGTGCTATTTCTCCACAGCCTATCAGAAAAACAGGAATTCATGCACTTTTCCCCCCTCTTGGCTTCCTGTATTTCTCATTTCTTCCAAAAAACATCTCCATTCCACAGATACACATTTTCTATCCACTGTTGCCTTTATTCAAAATTTTATGTCCTCAGCAATGTGGTAGAAAAGCATGGCTGTTGACAATATATGTGTGCATCGTTTCAATAACGTGTAACTGTTAAGTACTGGGTAGGTGGAGGCAGGAGAACTCCTGGGACACCTGGATAGGCATCTTACCCTCCCCACCTCTGTGTGTGTTTGTGTGCATGCAAGTATACGTGATCATGCGTGTGTCCAGGTCTGTATGCAGGTGTATGCTCAGGTGTGCATGATACAGAGACTGAGAATCTCGGGTGCTGTTCCTCCAGAGCCATCTGCCTTATTTCTTGAGTCAGAATCTCTCACCGAGACCAGTACTTGGATTCCAAATGGTATGAAAACTTCTTCCATAGGAGCTGGGGACTGACGGCAGGACTTTATCCTGTGAGGCAAGCGCTTTATTGAATGAGCTTCTCCCCAGCCCTATGGGCATCTTATTTCTCAGCTTCATTTGCTATTAGTGAAGCCGTAAGACTGTTATTGATGGAGAAATATTAGGTTCTGAATGAACCTCACATGATCACAACCCTCCAACTGCCTTCCATGTATGACACAACACCAACCACAAGCCCCTCCCTGAAAGGAATAATATAAAAACCCTGAGTCTCTAAGAAAGACAATCACTTTCTCTGGATCCCGGGCCATGAGGAGTTGCCCTCTCAGGTCTATTCTCTGCCTAAACAAACCTGCTTAGTCTGTTGAAGTCAAATCTCATCTCTTCTCCTGCTTCCTATTTTCTTACAGTTATAACTCATGATATGCGAGCAGTAATGTGCTCTAGTTCAAGAGAAGTCAAGAAGACTTTCATACTTACTCTCCATGGTCTACTATATAACCTACTAGATGGACAGAAAAAACATGAGCACCAGGATACACCTAACAGTCATGAAAATGTGCCTGAGTTGTTACAAAACACAATGCATAGGAAAAGCTCTCCACTAATCTGTTCATTTGGCAATGGCTGCAAAGTGAATGGCATAGGAATTTCCTAGATTGTGATATATGTTTTACTTGTTTTGTGATGGCAGCAGCCCAATACAATAGAATGTGGTGACATTGATGACAGTGATGACGGTGATGATGGTGGTGATGGTGATGATGATGGTGACGGTGATGATGGTGGTGACAACTCTAACTCCTATGAACAGTTTTGACTTCCCTCATTTTGCCTGAGTATGCTGCATATATTAACTTAACTGCTAACACAAGTCCATGAAGTAGACAATACATTTCTTTAGAAATCACCTAATTCACAGAGCTATTTACAAAGCCAGAATCTGTGCTTTCTTCACATAATCTTTACATTTTCTTTTTAATTTTTATGGAATTATTGTGCATTTCACACTATACATCTTGGATCATATTTAGATCACCTCCCCTGTCTGCACCCCTATATTTCCATCCCTTGTGCCATATTTCATGCATTTTGTCATACATATTAAGGCCTATGCAGTCAAATTTGTGTCCCAAATGTCTATATTTTATTTCTAATAATTTCTTCTATTTACTTATGTATATGGTGTGCATATGAGTTTGCTATTTTCTTTGTGCCCTTATAATACTTTGGGTTTGCTGGTTTATTATGTTGACTATGATGTATCCTTTCCTAGATCACCATTGTTCCTGTATTATTATGAAATTTATTACTTTCTGTGTTCTTATTATTGAGACTGTGTTCCTTCCTACTCTGTGTCTATTGTCCTTTCAGGTATCTTTTACAGCACTGTCATAATGAAGTGACTAAGAACTGTATTAGCTTATATTTGTGTTGAAATAGCCATATTTCTCTATCAATATTAAGAGATAATGTATTGTATATAGAAATTTGGCTTGCCA